CACAGCAGCAGGCAGCTTTCCTGCACATCCCCCCTGTGTGCTCCCATGCTGAGTTGCACATGCTGCACTCCAGAGGGTCTGGGGGAGGGCAGCAGAGTGGGGAGCATGAGCCCACAGCATGCACCCACCCTGCCCTTGCCCCCCACACAGATCTGGGGGCACAGGTCCCTCTGCCCCCCAGGAATGCATGCTGCCACCAGGAGCTGGCCCCGAACAAGTCCACAGAAGGCAAGCAGCAGAGGGAGACCCAGCTCATGCTCCTGCTGCAGCAGCCACTACCTTCCACTGGGGGCAGGAGGCTGTGGGCCTGGGGCCCTGGCCCCATCGCCCTGGCTGCTGAGGCTCCCTCTGGCAGGGTTGGGGGGCAGAGGCTGTGGGTGGGGGACAAGGGGCACAAGCAGGGCTGGGGGGTTGTGGGGCACAGAGTGAAGGATACTAGCAGGGCTGTGTGGGAGCTGTGGGGAGCATTTAATTTTACCCATGGATTTTGGGGTTTTATCAGAGAATTTGCAATTTTTTATCAGAGGATTTGTGATCTTTTATCACAGAAACCAGGTTCCCTGTGATTAGAATATTCCAGCAGACTCAATTCTGCTCCTATGCATTCTAATTAGAACGTGACAGAACAGGCATAGGGCACATGTATAGGTGCCTGTGACAGGGAACCCTAGCCCTGTTACTAAGAGACAGGGTGGTCCCTTTAAATTCAGAACCTTCCAGTCACAGCCGGCAGGTCAAGTAGAGGTTAAGGCTCAAGCCCTGCCAGCTGGTCAAGTGACAGGAAGAGGAAGGCCAGGATCCTACAAATGGCAAGTGGAAAAGGCCAGAGGGGCAGCAGGGAGTGGGACTCCCAATGACCATGGTGCCACAACTGCAGCCTCTGTTGGAAGACTGTGAGCCACCCTCATGATCATCTAAAGTAAACAGGCATGTTGCCTCTCTTGTTTCTGTATTATCATTTTTCCATTATATGGCCATAGAAGCCTATGTTTTGTGTTGAATGTTAAGACCGGTGGTTTGGGTGAGGCTATTTGGGGAAGGAGGAGGCCTCATTGAGGCCCCACCATGGTGTGGGGACCCCAGCGCCAGAGAGGGTGCAGTATTCGGGGGTGAGCTGACCCCAGCACCAGAGAGGGCGCAGTATCCGGGGATGAACAGACCCCACTGCCACAGAGGGCACAGAAGCCCAAGTGAGATTTTTTTTTTTTTGAGAGCTACAGCCCGGGAGTCAAACCCTGATTAGTGGGTCTTTGACTGACAGGCCTAACTAGAGAGAGAAGGGGTAGGCCTACAGCGGCCGAGACCCCAACATAAAGAGGAATTTACAAATACCATCTGCGAGGCTTGGGCTGCGGTGTAGGGGAGGAAAGGAGCCGCAGATACCGCCCTCTGGCATTGGGGCTAAAATGGTCAGCCTCCCGCTTAATTAACAACAATTAATTAACAACAAGGCATGGCAGGAGAGAAGGTGGACGGTTGGCCCATAACAGGTGGGCGGGGCCACCAATAGAGGGGCCCCGAGCAGGCCCTGTGTTACAGTGCCCTTAGAGAGTATTTAGGGCAGTTTAACATTCATTAATTAATGACTGCTCCCATTTTAGGAGCTTGCACACTGATTTTAACCTGTGCCAAAGCCCTTACTCTTTTGCAAACAGATTGTTTGGAATCTCAAGCCTGCCTGGCACCTCAAGAAGCAAGAAAATAGCAAGAAAGGCTCCTCATTAATTCACAAGAGTTAGCAACACTGCACTACTTTTGTTTTCATTACCCTGATATTACCAGGCTTTCAAAGATACGTTAGCTGATTATATGAAAGAGAACATACTTTGATCAGATAATGGCTTGGGCAACGTCAAAACTACAAACACTAGGAATAACTCTATATAAGACAGGTCAATTCATCTCCTTTCCCTAGACCAGCAGTTCCCAGTCTTTTGACACAGATGACACCACTTCAAACTGGCTTGGGCTCTTACTGAAAGTGGATCTGTAACTGTTGCCATTGAATGTCTGTGGGGTGTGTGACTTCACAGGTAAATGCCATGACCCAGAGTTTGGGAACAGCTGCACTAGATCTAAAGTCAGCAGATATAACATTAATAACATGAACAAGAACTGCAGCAAACATTACTGTGCACCTTTGATTAAAATGATTGCAAAAGGCATAATATAGAAGGTCAAACTGGTCCTGCTGATTTCAACAGAATTAAGATTTTCCCAGACAACCTATACTTGAAGCAGAAAAGAAATACAGAAAATACCCCATAGCAAAATGAGGAATGAAAACCTAGAACATTTAACACCAATGATCCATGAATTCAATAATTATTGCACAGGGAAATGAGTGGTGCCTGTTTGGCTAATTTTCAAAGACCACATTCTGTTACCCTATTCAAATGTCCTTGATATCAGGACTATTGACTGAACATACTACCTGAAGAAGGCTGGCAGTATTCACTTCTGCCATAATTTGCCTGGTCTGCCTCCCTGAGAAGTGACAATTGAAAATAACCACATAGAAAAATCAGCTAAAAACTGAGAAGCTAATAACCCTGGTAAAACATATTGTATTAATATCTGGATTGTGAATTATTTGGAGCAGAGGTTATCATTTGTCTGTCCACAAAATATATAGGTTTGCACAAATGCAGTCACAGGAACTGTGATACTACTTCATTGGGCTCTCACAACTATGATAAAAGATATAATTAATTAATACCAATAATGTCAAGGAGAATGAGACTTTTTCCTTTTTACATTTTTTTCAAAAAGAAACCTTTCCAATTGCAAATAACAAAAACTATACAAGAAGTGAGGATTTTTGTGGGTGATCTCTTTTATTGGACCAAGTGTAAGGTTGGGATAGACTTAAGCTTTCAAATGCAGCGCATTCTTCATGTCTGAGGAAGGAAACATTAAAGAAGAATGCACTGCATTTGAAAGCTTATCTTACATCTATCCCAACCCTGCACTTGGTCCAATAAAAGAGATTACTCACAAAAATCTTCATCTCTCTCATGTTTGTGGGACCATCACAGATATAACATCACTCCAACACTACAAAAACTATACAAACCAGACAAATATAGCTTCAATTACCCTCAAATTGCCTGAGTAGACTTTAATGAAATGTTATTAAAATTTGTTTCCTAAGCCAAGAAATTTTATTTTAGCTGAGACCCATAATAACCTCACTAAATAATTTTTAAATCAATGATTAATGCAAGCTTGTCATTTAATTTATTCATTCATTTAGAGGCACAAAGAAAAAAGGAGTTACCTAGCCATCCCCAAAGGACCTTCACATTCACAATGAAACAAATACAACTCCCGTATCTACTTGAATATAGGATTACCCTGAATATAAGATGATCACCCCCCAATTAATTAGATTCTATACATGGAAAATGTATAAACCTGTTATAATATCCCAGATCTAGAATCTCAGTATTGAAATTTCTTCCCCCTGCAGCCTTCCTGCCCCCATGCCCCCCGTCACCTGCATCTCCCACCTGCAGCTCCCCACAGCCTCTGTCGTTTTCCTCCAGTCTCTGGATCTTCCCTCCCAAACTCCCCCTGTCATTGCCTCTTACCCCCTGTTCTTCAGTCTCTACCTCTTCCCCCCAACCAAATTCCTTGTCTCTGCCCTTTCCCCACAAACCCCACTCCCTAGTCTCATCATCTTCCCTTCTCCCCCCTCCCCTACCCCCCATACTGTCAGACACTGCTTGGGCTGCTTCATCCTGGAGCACAGCACATGGAAGTTCAGCCCTTGCCTGGCCATGCAGTGCTGGCACCGCTGATTGGCTGGGCAGGCAATGGAGCAGTGTTGTGCTGCTGATTGGCCAGACAGAAGGAGTTTCCATTTGCTCAATGCCCATAAGAGACCCCAGCCCTGGTCAGAGCCAAGCTGTGCTTGACAGTAAGGGGGAAGGGAGGGAAAAAGGTGAGGTGGGGGAGTGCAGAAGGGAAGTTGAGGGGGAGGCAGTAGTAGATTGCTGTGAGTCAGAGCTGCTGAAAACGATTTCCTGCTGTCCCCCACCACCTCTCATTTAAACCAAGGGATATCCTTCCTAAGCACCTCTGTTCATCTCAGTTGAGGCACTATGGAAGGAGGAAGGGAGCAGTTCTTCTCAAACGCCAAGGTCTCAAGCCATCAAGAACTTTGGAGTTTAAAACCAACTCTTTAGATTCAGTCTACAAAACAAAGGGTAGCCAGTGCATGTCATGGAACTCTGGTGATGCATTTCTACTGAAAGACCTTCACTTAATGAACCTCTGAATTCGGCACAATCTTAAAATATCAAGATGACCCACAGCAGGGTTGCCTAGCAGTTGGTGGGGGGGGACATGTCACACAGGCCACAGTCCTATGGGCTGCACTGGGTGCAGGCCTCAGACTGAGGGCCACTTGCTGCACAGGAAGCCACCTCCCTAGGCTCTTACACCACTTGGGCAGCACTCCCCCCCACCCCTCCATCCTCCTCCTCAGCTGCACACACCATGCACATTCTCCCATGTGGGCAGCCCCTCCTTCCCCCAAGCTCCCTCCTGCCGCATGTGCAGCAATCTTCTCCCTCCATTTACAAACAGCACCCACCAGCAGTGGAAGCAGCCCAATTTCTGCCTTTATCTCATACAGCCTGAGCAGTCCTGCTCCCTTCCCCCACTGCATGCACAGTACAAAACCCTAACAGAGCCTGGGGAAGGAAGCAGTAACTAGATGAGGGAAGAGTAGTGCAAATAACCCAGTTGCTGTGGAAGGATTGACATGGGATGGGGGGAGATGAGGCAGCACCAGCGGCATCTGGGTTAACATATAGAACATACTGAAGTAATTCAGTGTTGAAATGACAGAGGCCTGTATGATTTTCTCAATAAGAAAATCATACAAAGTCTCTTGAGAGTCTCCCTTAAGAGACTTATATTCTATCGTGAGAGAAAACTTCTTTCTGTTTCATGAAAGTTTCATTTTATGCTATGTTGCCATGTTTACCTACCTTCAAACGAAGCTACAAAATCGAGGTAACTCAACCCTCCATCTGGGAATCCTAATTTTTTAGTTAGTAGATCAAATTGGTTGTCATCCATTGGCATCCCATGAACCTCTAACACCTGTCAGAGTTAAAACAAGTTAAATAAGGAAATGCTGTTTGCTTAGTAAGCCATTCCTTTTAATAAATGCCTGGATTTCTAAAGGTACATTTTCAAGGGATTGCATGGGTTTTGATTACAAGGTTAAAATCTACATATATTTGAAAATTTACCTTTTCTCATTGCATTTATAGGAACTAATTTAGCTGTTGTTCTACTTCCAATAGTTTCAAAACAGTACGCAAGAAGGAACAGAGAAATTATTTTTTCAGTGGTGGTGCTATGTAGAAGCATGAAATGCCTGGCTGAGATTTAACTGCAACTGGAAAATGAAAAGTGTCAGATGACACTCATGTCATCTGAAAAGTGTCAGATGACAAATCAATTAACAGAGCGAATCTGTAATTTGTCTAACAGTCTTATAGAATGTGCTGCTAACATTTTTCTTGACATGAAGCCACAATTAGCTCCTGAACAAGATTTATTCCTGCCTCTCCTGCACCACCCAGCCACAAAATGGATTCTAATAATATTAACATTTTATCACAGGCACTTATTGCTGCAGAGAGGAGAGAGGGTGAACTTAACATAAACATAAGAACATAAGAACTGCCCTTTACTGAGTCAGACCATACGTCCATCCAGTCCAATATCCCGACTCTCACACAGTGGCAGAGGGCAGATGCTCAGTGGAAGGTTCAGTAGATCATGACCAGATTTTTCCACTCCTTGCTCTTCTCCCATTGCACTTGCTGACATTCAGTGGTTTAGGATTCCTACGAGACACATACCTCTGAACCAGGATTTGAGGATTCACCTCACATAACAGTTTTGGCTAGGAGCTTACTGGGACATTTGTATGCCCAACATGCTTCCCCATCCTCCTTTTCTGACTGGAGGCAAGGAGGAGGAAGTTATCAACACTTTCTTAGTGCTAGAGCAGTGGTTGTCAACCTTTTTTGTACCAGGGCCCATTTGTAAAGATTGGCCAGTCCTGACCCAGCACCCTTCACTCCTGACCACAGTCCCCCAGTGTGTGGGATGGGGGGAGTCCCAAGCAGCCCCTTGTAGGCTGGGACTCTGCCAGCCTGCAAGGGAAAACCCTCGGTTTCCCAAGTTTTTCTCCTTTAAAAGAGAATCCATTTTAAAAGTTTGTTGATCCATGTTTAAAGTTTGTTCATGACCTTTTCATATATTCTTGTCATCCAAAGTTGAGAAACACTGTGCCAGAGGACAGGTGTCTGGGGTACACGATTCTCCCTCTCCCAACCAGTTGGCCATAATAGTTCTCTACTACTCTGCCTTTCTTCCTGTCTCTCATTGGGTTTTACTTAGTAGCGACAGCATTGGCTTGTACTGCTACTCAGCACTTTCTGCATACATTCCATTGTCCTCAGCTACTCCAGGATTTTAGAAGAAAGCCCTAGATCTGGCTTCTTAACACCTGATGTGGGTGTGCTCTTTTATCATCTGTACCACAGAACTCTGACGTGTTTTCTCAAGTGTTTCTATGGCTATTACTTTTGTTAGTTGTGGAGATTGAAAGAAAAAAAAAGCATCAAATCGCTGAATGGTGTACGGAGTATAAAGAAGTGAGAATACTCTAATTAGCAAATTATCATTCCTTTCAGTGCATTGAAAGCTTTGGGATAAGCGAGTATATTTCCTGTTCTATAAGACAGGTATTTGCCACTGGATCAAGTGATTAACTGTAGAAAGAATACAAAAATCTGGACATGCAAAGCAAAGCAAAGCTACAGAGAACCTATAATAATACTTAGTTCCTTTAGCCCTAGCCAGTGAGGCTTTCAGCTAGAGCAAGGAAGTGATAGAATAAAAAATATATATATTCTAAGATAAGCAGGGGCCAGGGCACCAGCTGCAGGAGACCTTGGCTGACCCCCTTCTCCTGCACTTCCTGGTCCAGCCTGCCTGCCCCTCTGCCCACACACCCCCTACCCCCTGCCCAGCCCCAGCACCACTCTCAGGACATGCACGTGGTTGAAACAAAAAACTTTATTTCCCTATCAACACCTACCCCCATCCCCTTCCCCCATTCCCTTCCTCACCTCCCCCCACAACAAACAGAGCCCCCTCCCCCCTCCCCCCCCCACTCACGAACAGTAAAAACCCTGCTTACATCTATTTACTATTTACTATATTAGGGAGGGTCTAGGGACAGTACAGGAAGGGGGAGTGGGAGAAGGGAGGGGGAAGGGCCCTCCCCCAAGTGCAGGACTGACCATGTGTCTGAGGCTGGCAAGGCTGGTGCAAGGGCAACTGGCTGCACCTGGTGTACACAGCTTGGGCATGGCAGGCTGCTAACCAGTTAGGGGATGCCCCCCGCCCCCACCACCAGAGGAGCTGGCGCTGCTGTTGGCTGGCAGTGACCTTGCCAGCTACTCCTCATGGAGGGGCCTGGGGCTGTGCTGAGGATAAGGCAGCCACTAGCCAGGGCTCCCCAAGCTGCCAGTAGATGCAGCAGCCAGGGAGCAGGGCAGGGCAGGGTGCTGAAGGCCCGAGGTCCCCACCACTGATGACATGTCACCAGAGGGGCAGGGCAGGGGCTCAGGCAGGCTGCCTCTGCTGGTGATACTCACAGGGGTGCAGCCTGGGTCCCAGGGTGCCAGAATATGAGTCAGCTCCCAAATAAAGGCCTTGGTCTTGCAGGCATGACCGTACTGATGACTGCAGTCAGTCATGGTCATCCACTGTGCCCACAAGTCCTTGACCTTAAAGCAGCACTACCACACTGACTTGAATTGTTCTCGTTCTAACTTGACAACCTCCTCCCGGTTTAAAGTATTAAAGAATGCTGTCTTTAATACTCGCTTCCTGTTGTATCACGCTGTCCTTCAGCCTTTCAGTTACTTCATCAACCATTCTATTCTTGGTATGTTTGTTAGCTTGATCTTCAATCTGTTTCATTCTAAAATTGAAAGATTGCACACAAAGACAAGTCACTTGTTTTTGATACGTCAAACATTTGATTCAGCAGTAGTAAACTGAATTGTTTTAACCACAAATGGAATATTGACACCTGAAATGTTGTTTATGCAGTCTAATTACAATTATAGTTGGTTGAAATAATGGTACATGTGGATCCCACTGCCATACTGTGCAATCCATTTTTAGGTAGGACTTTCTGTTTAAGTTGCGATTTGTAAAAACTGATTGTATGAGACTGATGCAAGATACTTAACCCCAGATATCCACATATGGAAGCTGATTCCCAGTTCAAGTTGGGTCATTAGATGCCATCATCTGGGAATCTTATTTATTAATATTTAAATTAATATCATGTGGCCAAACTAACATCCATGTGCTTAGCAAGTGTTTCCATAGACTTAAAGGAGATATAGGTTAGGTCAGGGGTTGGCAACCTCCGGCACACGTGCCAAGCATGGCATGTGCGGCCATTTTGATTGGCACACCACCACGAGCCCCAGCTC